TTCTTAATATTATATATATATATATATATATAATTTTTATTATAATAGCGTGTTCGACGCATGCCCTTTTTGAATATTTTTAATAATAGATGTGTCCCGTGTTCATGTCATATCGCATTTGTGTCCTCGTGCCCGTATGCAGACAACAAGGATAAGATCTTTATAAGCAGAGAGATTATTCCAATTCCTCATAATTTTTCATTGTTAATGCTAGATTAAAATTCAACTCAAGTAGCATTGATAACTACAAATTTACATGCCCAAACTATGATCAAATGAAAGAAATGTGATAAAAAGAGATAGATAGTAAAATGAAGAATAAAAAAGAAAAATAGATCAAGTGAAAGAAAATTCTACCAATCCTTCAAGCTTCATATATAAAAATATCTTTTGAGAAACCACTATAAAAAATAACCAGTGGGGCATGCCATTTAAACCCATTTTAACTTCTCAACAATTCCCTCATAAAGTATCCTATTGAAATCATGTACTTACGTAGGACCATTTAACATGATTAATTTTGCTAAAAACAAAAATTTACTCCAAAATCCAATAGTTCCCAAACTTGTGAGTATGATGAATCAATACCGTCCATGATCCTATAATCAATATTTTATCAAATGCAAGCTCATGACTTACGAAACCAATTTAGAATTACAAGAAAGATGACAATCGTTGTTCTATCCTAGAGCAATCCTATGATACTCTCCCCAGTGGCAGCCTACCTAGATGTGCTGCCATGGATTGTCCTCACTCTACAATTTGACATAAGACAACTTTGCATGACCAACTATTCTAAGAGGTCGGACTAATGGAAAAGGAATAAATAAGACTTTATAACCAAAGGTTCATCTGCCCCAAGTTATTAGGTGCTTAGCAATGGTTTAATGCAGGTCCATGACTCGATCACCCACCTTGGACTATAAGAAACATGGAATATGTCTTCTTGTCCTCTTGACAATCATCTATCATGTAATCCTCTACACCATCCTCACATGTAACACAAAAAATTTGACTTAACATGCATAATTAAAAAGAGAACATCTTCAGGAAAAAATCACATGGTTATCGATATCAATGCAAATGTAGTTCATAACTACTACTTGATATATGAAATTTCTGCAATGGGAGAGTGAAAAATCCCAGCACTAGCAGCTATATGATCAAAATAGTAACCAAATTTAATCCACATGATAAAGAAAATAATAAATATTACTGTGGAAATCACCTTTCATTTTCCTGTATTAACTTGATTGACTAGGTAATGTTTCGTACGTGATCAAGAGCATAAAGGGAAGAAATTAACATCATGATGAGGGAATCTCAAGTTCTAACACTAATAGGAATTATGCTACTTCTTCAACTCTATTACAATCCTTTTTAAAATTTTCATGACAACTTTCTTTTCCCTGATATCAAACATGTAAATGGTCTGCCTGTCTCAATCAAGCATCTCTTTTACATAGATTAGTCATCTAAATATGATGTATCACAAACTATGGATTAACTGTGGCATTTAAAAAAGAGGGCAGTTTAAATTTTCATAAGAAAATTCAATTACAACTTAAATGAATGAAGAAAAATAAATCTAAATAATTTTTTTCAAACATCGAGAGAGTATAAATAGAAGATAAAGTTTTAACTAACTTTGATGCAATATTTGCAAGATTTTACTAGATAGATCCGAACGAAAAATAAAATGATTTGCAAATAAAAATCTTAATTTTAATTGATTTTGACTCAAAACTATGCTAACCATTTTGAAAAAATGAGATCCTAATAGGGAGGATTATAGAAGAAGGGAAAATGTAAAATACAAATAAAATTGAAACATGTAGAAGATTATTGTTATGAGCAGCCATTAGTCATATTAGATTTCTTTCAAGTCTTGGAAGCCCTTCGATTCAAAAAAGAAACCAAACAAGCACAAGAAAAAGTGGAAAAACTAAAAATTTTATTTCATATTAATATCTTCATCGATAAAAGTGTACAAGTGACTTGTATACAGAAAAAGTGGAAAAACTAAAACTTTCATTTCATCATTAATCTTTTCATCTATAAAAGTGTACAAGCGACTTATATAACATAAGGACACAAGCACCATCACAATTCAAAGCCAAGGAAATGAAGTTAAAGGTAGGTAGCCAGGTCCAAAAAAATGAAGTAAAAAAACGGTTGTGAGGAAGTCCAAAAAGTTGTGTAAGTCAAGAAATGATATAAGTTTCACATACAACTATCAACCATCCTCATTATAAGCATAGTGGATTAATAAGAGCTCAACAAAGCACAAGGGCCACGACATAAATGGGCCTAAAACAAAAAAATGGTTAAGGAAACTAAATGGTCCAAAGTAAATCATGACATAATGTCCTAGCAAAATAAGAGCCAATCCCCACTCCCAACACCCACCCACCCCCCTCCACTTGTACCTAAAATCTCCTAGGCAAACGATATAAACTTTATGGTGGTGACTATGATGAATGATGATGACGATCGGAATAATTTGCATCAAAATGTTATTTATACTAGTATTTAATTAAGCAGATGATGAAAAGTTTGGGAAATTAAGAATAATTAAAATCTTAAGAATTATTTTGTTGAATTGTTTGATAAACTTATGGACGAGGGTGGGCATGAAGGTGAAGTTGCCTCGAGTATATCTTGGAGGTTCTACATTCTGAGTCATAGAAATAACCTCTCTACAAATAGATATATTAACCACTCATCAGACTCAGTATTAGCAAGCCTGCATTAGTGACAGCTTGATGCCTTAGGTATGTTATTTTTTTTTTTCTCTAGTACTATGCATATAGAAATACAAAGAGACCGTTGATTACCAGGTGCAAATGCATCATTCAGACTCCAAAATGCTGCCAACTTTAAGGATATATTTATTACTACTATTTGGAGGAAGGAGTTCATACAATTCATTGGAAGTGAACCTATTTTCAGATGGCAAACCTCGCAAAGTAGACGACATAATGAGAAAACTGTAGCATTCTTGAAAATCCAAACAATAGGAAGCTCAAGCTAAAAGAACAAATATATGAATTACATCAGCATATTGCAAGTCCTATTGCAAAACATTCACATATCAGTTTTCAATCAGCAATCTCCCATAAAACATACATGAAAATGCATGATAACATACTGTATTTTCTGTCTTCCTATCCTGCTATCGCTTCCATTAACTTCTCCTTGAAAGAGAAAAAAAAATACTGTGCCATACCTTAGGAAACAGAAGTCCAGGACCGCTTTGTGAATTGATCATAAGAACTTCAATAGCTTTCACAGGCTTCCCACTAACAGCATCAAAAGATTTTTTATATCTAAATGGTATACACCTGCCAGAGAAAAAAAAAATAAAAATCTGTCAAAAATCTAACAGAAACTAAAAAATATTGTAGAAAAATAATCACTTTTTTATTTTATTTAGCTACTCTTTATGAATCCTCATCTTCCATTCATTAATGTTGATTTATAACCTTTTTTTTTATTTTGCATTTCTTTTTGCACAAAGCCTAACATGATTGCTTACTTTCATTGATATTTCGATGTAATCCTTTCACATTAATTTTGTATGGCTTATTGCTAATTCATCTTGAACCCTCCAATGCGCATGCTCAAACCAGAATTGATGAGATGTTTGATAATGAACAAATTAAGACAAAATAATGAGATATAAAATATTTTTCATGCAAAAAAAAAAAAAAAATTCAAAGTTGTCAAGAAAGTATTCATTGAATGAATCTATTACACTTGTTAAGAAAGGAATGACATAAAAAATGACCATAAAAGGTTTGCTGTAGTTTAAAAATAATGATAGAATGATATCTCAAAATATTGTTATCAAAATTAAGCAAGATACTGAGCTAGGTGCCTGAGCAAGGCGAGGAGATACTCCAACTCCTCAACACCTCCAAAGCAGGCATCACACTAAGACGCCCCCTAGGTAAGTGCCTTGGTGTAAAGTGCTAGATGTCAAGGCACTTACCTTTGTGATGCAAATTTCTTTATTAATTCTTAAAGCAAACACAGCCATATTATGACATGCAGGGCTATAAATCTAATAAATGAGCAATGAAGAAGATGAAATACATAGTGTCAAAAATTTAATTAACCATGCAATATAAAAGCAACCAGCTTAGATTTTTATATGCTTTGTTTAATCTTGAAATATAATTTGAACATTATGAGCACTTTGTTGTAGGCAATCTATCTAGTAAGTTCTTGTCATGTTGCATTTGGAATGACAAAAAAACTATCTATTTTAACCTAATATATTTTTATATTTTATTATAATGATTATCATATTGTACTCTGCAACAACGTTTCTCATAATGAAAATAAATTAAATTATTAAGCACCTCACTTCGCTCAGGTAAGCAAAGAGCTTGCCGTCTATTGCCTTTAATAAAATTTATCCTAATTTTCAAAGGAGAAAAAAAAAAAGGGAAGTTTACCATATGCATTACCAATTACCATAAAATGACTTTGAAATAAATTGAATATGAATACACACATTTTTTAAAGTTGCAAATTAGGAAAAAACTAATGTGAATGACAAAGAAAAAAATAATGATTAAGTGGTTCTTCATCGTAGCAAAATGATTGGCGATATATGGCTCTACCATCATCAAGATTGAATGATGGTAGGTGACATGTTCACATGTTTGCCATTAGCGTGCTGTGATTTGCTAATGAAATTTTAAGATTCCTTCAAAATTTTCCTAATAATTGTCGAATTATGATCCATCTCATTGCATGTGTTCTATTATAAATCCTCCTCTTAAGACAATGCTGTCTTTTTGCCAAATCTGAGTGAGAAAGTGGTGCCCCTTCTCAGAATAATTTTCATTATTCTAGTGCATGAAACCACAAACTGAACACCATCACAAAAACCATGAATTCACCTTGAATCGTTTATATCCTTCAATTGCAATTGGATTAATTAGTAATGTTGGCATAGTTTCAATGAGGCCCATTGATGCCAATTCCAAGCATGAGCTTAAACAAATCAAGAGAGGGTTTTGATGGGACTTCCATAATTTTGTGTTTTGCATGAAGTACAACAAGGTGTACTTGATTGTTGTCATTCATTCCAAATAATCAATAAGCGGACTTTGTATGTTCTAAATTATACTATGCCATGCTTATAAATACAAAAAGAACAATGAGTTCCTTCATCCTACATCCTCTCTGTTACCGCGTGTTCCACCCCCGCATAGATCCTAGGTTGTGAGGCTTGGCATTAACTAGGTGAGCACCAAAAGGGTAGAGTTCCTTCTTCCTTCTTTCCCTTTCTTACCATGATATCCTCCCATGCAGAATGTTAGAAGTGAAGGATTGCATCTGTCTTAAGGGTACCAAAAGAATGGAGTTTCTTCTTCCTTTCCCCTTTGCTTTACGATGCTCTACTTTTATATATAAAGGTGAGGTAGCAAAGGATAGCATCTGTTGGATGGACACAGAGGGGTGGAGGAGATAACAACTATAACTACCTTCAAATTGAACATATTTTGGTTCTTTCAAGTCCAACATCTCTTGCAAACTCTGAGCTCTGCCAACATTATCACCTTTAAACCTAGTCTAAGGCATTCAATCCTAGCCAGCACCACTGCTGCTGAGTTTGGTCCACCTATTATCATAAACCATAAGCTAGAATATAAGATGGTGTCAGCCTACACATCCAATCCATAAATAGGCACTGAAAAACACAATGAAAACAGAGACACGTAATGCTGAGAAGGATCAACTCAAAATTTCAAAGTCGCCACTATGTTGCCAAATGGACTATCCCTATATTAGAATGTCTAAATGATCTATGAAGTTCTGTTACCCCATGTTGCTCAAATTGCAACACGAAGAGAGAGCAAAAATTTATCAAGTGCGAGAGGGAGTACACAACTTTGTACACATAGGAATCTATATATATATATATATATATATATAG